CGCCGTTCGTGTCGTAAACGCAGAGGAGAAACGTTCCCAGCGAAAAGAGTCGAAATTAAACTCGACTCATGGATAGACACTGAATCTCCACACCAGCTTATCTTCACCCCATGTTACCGCTATTGATTATTGATCAATACAAGAGAAAGAAAGAACTAACCAATCAACTATTACACACATGACCTAATTTTGCAGGTTTAAGATTTGTATTTGGTGGCTGTTGTGGTGTTGGGGTGAAGCAAATGGTAGAGAAGGTTGTAAAGTATGCTCTTGTCTCACGCGAACTGCACATCAAAACCGTGGTAATGTGCAGCCTCATTCGGCTGTTTATAATAACATAAACATGAAGTCTTGCCATAGGGCAATGGTTCGCAAGCGAGCCTGATTCTGGCTGCCTAAGGCCTAAGGCTTTATGATACAGTAAGCTTGGTAAAGAGCTGTGATAACGTAAATACTATTTCTGTTCGGAAATTTTTCAGTCATTTAAGATTAAAATAAAAGAAACCTACCTCAGTCATTGGTATTTTATTTTACTTTAAAATACTCCACTTAGAACCTGACCCATTTTAGTTTCCGAAAAATGAATATCCGTCAACTCTGGTGTCGGTGATTTACTATGGTCATCTCTTAAATTATATCCGAAATTATTGAAAAAAAATGCGCACATACCCGTTTCTGCTGATGAATTATCATTATTATGCATTAACCATTTGAATTATCATTATTACCGTGGCCAAGTGATTAGAACGGTCGCTTTCTGACCATGAGACCCGCGTTCGAATCTCACCGGGATCGATTTGTGAGGAAGGTGACTTCTATGTTATGATGGAAGCAATCGCAGCTTGTGACCTTTGGAAAGTGCTTGAAAGTTGACCTAAGCCTTGTGAGCCGTCGGTGGTTGTGCTAGCACGAGATCACAAGTCATCGTGACCGAGGATTTGACAATGTTCAGACTGTTGATCACGCTGGAAATTGTAACTAGAGTGGGCTCTGTGGGTATTGAACAAACACAAATGTGCCGGGCAGGCGTCTATAACCAGGATTAGCTGACTAGTAGACTGGCATCCTGTTTCAGCCGTTGTAACTTCCGGCCTTCTTCAAATGCGTATTGTGTTCGGTAACGAATGGTGCCCTTTTATTTATGTACACAATTCCTTTCCCAGAAACGAAATAGTGTTAGATTTATAGCTATTCTCATGGCAGATGTTCGGGTGAACTACCTTCCTCGGTTTCACCAGTTAGGTCACATCATGTCACGTGGATTGATTCGACTCATCTTTAGTCCCTTCATATCGCATATTTATTTTCAAAGCCCCCTTTCAGGATCGCCTTCAGCTGTCTCGTCATATTTTTCTTAATCTCATCCATGGCATCTTGGCAAGAATTCTAGTGTTTGGAAAAGCCAGAAATCGTAAAGGAAGCAAATCTGGATGATAGGAGAGCTGACAAACTTTGTGATGCGATTTTCTCTTCAAAAATCCTGCGCCTAATGCGAAAAACCTACTCACGTGGTCATTGTAAATAGGACAGTCACATTATACACAAGCTCATTCAAAGGAATCTCACTGGCAAAGAAGTAAGCCAAATGATAAATGTTTGTTTACGCATGATCAGTAAGGTTCTCTCCAATTGTTTGCCATGTAATATAAAAACTGCTCGCTTGTTCTTGGAATATTCAAAATGGCCGCCTATAACTGTTTCTACACGCCTGATGAAAATATAGCATTTTGCTTAAGAATCTTCGAATTGTTTTATTTTATTTTACAGCCACAGATTAAAATTTAAACGGTTTCCGACATAACTTTTTTCTGCTTGACGAAACGCAGTTATCTCCTTTTACTTGGTTCTGTAAAGTCGAAATTTCAGTTCTAAATGAAGATATTTTGAAGAGCCCCCAGTTAACAGAATATTTGATATGCATCGGACAGATTCGTATAAGTGTCCACATTTACAAGACTTAGATCTGCACAAGAGCACATCTGACACAAGGTCGGTTTGATGCCCCATACCCATGTACATCTGCCCAGTCCCTTACTCCTTTAAAGACATGGAAGAACAAGCTGATCATATACTTATTTTTTAAATCCAATTGAGGTTTTAGTTAGGCATGGGGGGTGGTGTACATTTAAATCAAATTCGGTTTGCAGTTTTGATCTAGAAGCTGTCGGGTTGTGATAATTCTAATTTAGGGTCTGAATCCTCTTTGTCATTTTCCTTACTATTACGATATTATATTTGCGCACAAGTACACGTCGACGTGGTGCAATGGTTAGTCACGCTTGATCAATTACGACTAAATAGTGAGTTCGATCCTCATTGGGCTCCCGTACTTTTGGCCTTGTGCCTCATCTAAGCTACTCTTAGAAAATCATCATAGTCACGCAAAAGTTAAGCGTCATGTTTTTACTATGGAAGGTCGATAATGTCATATGTACAATTTATCTTACACCACTTGGAATAATGTTTCTAAACATAATGTTAGCTAAATATTTATTTTTGTCACTCAAATCTTATTTGCTTTTCATTCAGGATTGCAACTCATATCTACTTAAAGGAGGACATTAATGTTTCTTTTTATAATAAAATCAAAAGAAATTTATAACAGTTTTGTTTAAACACTAATAATACAAAAGTTTATTGAAAAATATTTGCCTTAATTAATGTCAGCGTAATGAAGCAAAATGAAAATTCATTGCATAAACTCTCCTAATATATTTGGGCAACAATTTGTGACTCATCTAAGTTCAGTTGAAGATCAACACAATTTCTTTTTGGTTATGCCTATTTCTCTGTTTATCAGGTAGAGTTTCAACATAAATTCATCAGTGTTCTCTATCCACCTCCTGTTTTCATGCGCCATTCTAAAAGATTTTTGTGACCTAATAAGGGTGGACCTGTCCTTATCCATTGTATCTTGCTTATTTCGAGTTTCGCCTTTTTACGCATTAGTGGGTTTTGTGTTATCACGACGCACGAAAATGATGAAAGAAACATACTGCTGGCCTATATATAAATGTATTAACTTATTAAACACAGAGATAATACTTTATGAAAGCCGAAA